TATATATATATATATATTAGTGCTGTCAAACGATTAATCGTGATTAATCGCATCCAAAATAAAAGTTTTTGTTTACATTATTTATGTGTGTATACTATATATATATTTATTATGTATATGTATATATATATATATAAATACAAACACATGCATGTATATAAGAATATAAATATATACATGTAAATATTTACTGTATGTGTGTGTATTTATATATGCATAATAAATATACACAGTACACACACATACATATATTATGTAAACAAAAACTTTTATTTTGGATGTGATTAATCGTTTGACAGCACTAATATATATATATATTGTTTCCACAAAATTATGTTTTCAATGTTTTCAACATTGATAATAATCAGCATCAAATCAGCATAATAGATTTCTGAAGGATCATGTGACACTGAAGACTGAAAACAGAATTAAATGAGATTTTAAAATATATTCAAATGGCTATTTTACGTTCTAATAATTTTTCACAATATTGCGGTTTTTACTGTATTTTAAATGTTGAGATTTCTCATAAAAACATAAAAAAAATATTGAAAATAAAATGGTATGCATTTTAATTTAATTTGTGTGTTTGTTCTTCCGAAGTCACAGTCACACAATAGCTTTGTGTGAGAAACCGACCAAAATTATTTTGATAAGCTATTTCTTCTATTTCATTTGTTGTTGCTGGTTAATTCCAAAGCCTGTGATGATTTGGTGTTATGTAGATGTGATTTTCCTTGACGGGCTCTCAGTTATGAGGAGAGGGCTCTCTACCTGGAGGCCATCATTCAGAACCACAAGGAGAACATGACCTTTGAGGACTTTGCTGCCCAGGTCTTCTCGCCTTCCCCCAGCTACTGGCCAACGGGAGGTGCAGGTGAGACACACGACGTCTTTTATTTTCCTTTATGTTGTGGGTAGCAATTTATCTTACAGTCCTCTTCTGCATGTACATACTGTACAACGACTGGGTAGTAAGTGCTGTACTTACCCAGAAACATGAAACCATGTTCAGTTCAAGTACCTTACGTTACTTATAGTACTTTCTTAAGTTCACTGTAAGTATACAGTAAGTGCACATACGGTAAAATAAAGTGCAAGTATTTTGTTTTTATTTTACTGTCCCAAGCATTGCTCTTTTTCCACTGTTTATGAAATTGGGAAATCTCTAAAATGGATTAATTGTCTGGTACAGTTAGTTTTGAAATGTGTCGTCAGACTCTGTAGAGGGCGGATAATGCACAGGTTTAGATGAAGCCACCAGGTCCCTGCCCCGACCATTCAGGCGCTTCATTTTAAAACAGCCAAAATAAAATCAATACAGCCTTCGACTGTGAAAGCCCAGTAAATCAAACTGAAAATGCGCTGTAGTACAGCTTAATGAATTACACAACTGAAAGGAGAAATCGATGTGGGCAAAATTCTGTTTTAAAGTACACTTGCAAAATACTGTAAGGACCAGGGTCCCGGCATTTGTGGAAATTACAGGATAATATGATTTGTGATTTCTAGACCTTGAAATGTCAGGGAATTGATCAAATATTAAAAAGTCTTGGAAATGTCTGTAGTGAATATAAAGTTAATTAAAATATTTAGTTGGGAGTCCAGTCTCACAAATATTTTTTATCCAGTAATCACAAATGACTAGAAATGCATTGGTAAACAGGTGTGGGAGTCCTGGACAACAGTCTGATCATTGTTTTTCATATTTTACTGTCATTGATATAATATTGTCATTTTTTTTTACAATAATTATTTTTCATATTTTCATTTTAGTTCTAAAGTTTTAGCACTTTTGTTGTGTGTTTTTGTCGTTTTTATTAGTTTTTTTTTTTTTTGTAGGTTTAGTTTTTAGTTGATTTTGTTTTGCCAAACAAAAATGAAAGAAGAAATGTTCCCTTGACAGTTAGCTGAAATAAAATAAGTGTAAGAAAAAGTCTTGGAAATGTCTGTAGTGAATATAAAGTTAATTAAAATATTTAGTTGGGAGTCCAGTCTCACAAATTTTTTTATCCAGTAATCACAAATGACTAGAAATGCATTGGTAAACAGGTGTGGGAGTCCTGGACAACAGTCTGATCATTGTTTTTCATATTTTACTGTCATTGATATAATATTGTCATTTTTTTTTACAATAATTATTTTTCATATTTTCATTTTAGTTCTAAAGTTTTAGCACTTTTGTTGTGTGTTTTTGTCGTTTTTATTAGTTTTTTTTTTTTTTGTAGGTTTAGTTTTTAGTTGATTTTGTTTTGCCAAACAAAAATGAAAGAAGAAATGTTCCCTTGACAGTTAGCTGAAATAAAATAAGTGTAAGGTTTTTAATATTTTATTTTATTTCATAACTTTCATTAATAAATCATTAACAAACATTATATAATGCTTAACAGATCATGTTCACGTAGCTAGAAATATGAGATAATGTGCTATGTTTACTAATGTACTTATTAAAAATTACCTAATTATTAGCAGATCATTATTTAATGTAAATTAAAATGCTTACACATGGCATTAAACTTTCAATTCATAAGAACATGCACAAATGATTTTGACAGATGGTTTACAGTGATTAAAAGCTTCATTAATACATCATTAACAAACATTATATAATGCTTAATGCATCATTTGCTAATGTTTAGAAATGTTATTAAACTTTCATTTCATAGGATCATGCACTTTTGAAAAATCTACAAATGATTTTATCAGAAATTATACAATGATTACAAGCTTTTTTGTTAATGTACTTTTCAATGCTAACAAATGTCATTAAACTTCTGTTCATATGCTCAAAAATGTAATGAAAAATTAGCTTAATTAGTCATTTTAAGCACTTCACTATTCACTGAACTATTCATGTTATATTATTCATTAACTCATAATCACAGTCTGTAAAAGTCATATATTTGGTCTCCATTTGTTGTGTAGACTTCTACTATTTTCACATCTTAAATCATGTATTAATCATTTGTTCATGTTTTTGCAGTACTCAATCTAAAGTGGAAACTATTCATCATTTGTAACACACATTGGCATAACATTTGTATTGCCTCAACACTTATATTAGTATAATATTTCATTAAACAGGGTATTCCTTGAATCAGACATCAGCAGGAGAAAAAAAATTAACAATTTCAAGAAAATACTAATGTAATATAAACAGATTGAACTGTGTTCAAACGTAATCAAACTGACCCCTCTGCACTTTTGGCCCCTTACCTAACCCATAAACCTACCCAAACCAGTCCCTAACCTTACCCATACCACACCTCAACAGCAGCAAAAGCGTTCTGCATTGACACAAGCTTTTAATCATTGTACATCAAAATCATTTATAGATTTTCAAAAAAGTGCTTGATTAAATGAATTAAAAGTTGAATGATATTTGTAAGCATCGTACTTTACATTATCTGTTAATCATTATCTAATGTTTAATAAGTTTAGTAAACATCAACAAGCACATTATCTCATGTTTCTAGGTATGTGAATATATAACTAATGAGCCGTTAAGCATTATATAATGTGTGTGAATGATTTATTAATGACAGTTATTTTAAAGTGTTCCCTGACAGGTTTATGGTTTAAGTTGGAGTTAACAATAATAACACTGTTTCTCATGCTACAATCACGACTCTGTGGGATTTGAATATTTCTTTCTTTCTTCATTTCCAGAATGACAAAAACTCTTCTATTTGCAGTGCGTTTTCTAGAGTTGATTTACTTTTCTTTTCTTTGTTATTTAAATGTTTCGTTTTGTTTAATATGCAGACTTTATTCTGCACGTGGATGCTAAATTTGCCCAATCCCTGAATGCAGCAGTGAAGGGACACGTTCTTTGTGGGGTAATTTTGCAGAATGATGCTCTGACCGTTTTGATTTCTGTAGTATCGCCCGTTTATTTCCTAGAAAGGTGTTGAAATCGCTGTGGTGACTGCACGGGGAGCAGCTGAACTCCGAGAGAATGAGAATCTCATCCGTTAAACATTTCAAGCTTTCTGCAGTTTTGTTTAATATGCAGACTTTATTCTGCACGTGGATGCTAAATGTGCCCAATCCCTGAATGCAGCAGTGAAGGGACACGTTCTTTGTGGGGTAATTTTGCAGAATGATGCTCTGACCGTTTTGATTTCTGTAGTATCGCCCGTTTATTTCCTAGAAAGGTGTTGAAATCGCTGTGGTGACTGTACGGGGAGCAGCTGAACTCCGAGAGAATGAGAATCTCATCCGTTAAACATTTCAAGCTTTCTGCATCTCAGGGTTTCTTGTACCTCTACCAAACACATCAAAACTGCATCCCCAGATCGTTGTTCTCTTTTTTTTTCTTCTGTTGGCCTCTCAGTCTCTTTTGTTCTAATTCCTTTCTCAAGTTCATTATTTTTTGTTCTTAACCTCAGTTGCCATGCCTGTTTCTTTTCTTTTTCTGTTTCTTCTGTTTGTGCCACCAACTCCAAATTCAATATGTATTTACTAATTAGTAATTTACCCATAAATGCAGGCTTAGGTTGGAAAGAAGTCCTTCTACACTCTTAAAAATAAAGGTGCTTCAAAAGGTTCTTCAAGCGATGCCATAGAAGAACCATTTTTGGTTCCACAAAGAAGCATTCAGTCAAAGGTTCTTTAAAGAACCATCTTTTTCGGACCTTTTTGTAATCTGAAGAACCTTATTTCGCCACAAAGTATCTTTTGTGAAACAGAAAGGTTCTTCAGATGTTAAAGGTTCTTTATGGAACCATTTAGACAAAAAGGTTCTTCTATGGCATCGTGAAGCACCTTTATTTTTAAGAGTGTATGTATACATACATGAAATACAAGCTCTGTTCCAAACCCTAGAGAGTTGTGTAGCTAGACAGCATTTACAACAGAATAATTATGTTGAATACTTGATTCTGACTGGTTCACACACACACACAGATCGGTGAAACTAAAAGCGTCAATTACGTGTCATGTGACCAATGTTTTCTATAGTCGATTCACTTCAGAACCATTTTATTGTCCACATCCATCTGAAATCAAATATTTTAAATATTACAAGCTAATTTTTTTGTGATTATTTTTTCTAACACATGTAAATGCAGCTGTAGCAAAACTAACATTGTAATAATTATGTAGGAAGTCGGTTTTTAATGGAGTTAATACCTAATAATTCACCCGTTCTCCTTATTTTACAATCTGACATGAAGTACAGTTTCAGGTTCCAGTGTAGACATAGTGAAGCCATTGCAGTGGCTTCAGCACAAAGTGGTTTTAGGAGATAACTTCTTATATAGACATAGCTCACTGGGGTTTGGAACAGACCCATAGATGACAGTTTGGACAGGCCAGACAGACCCGTTTAAAACGCCAGCTCATCCTGTAGGACTTGAGTTGTTTTGTGGGTTACAGTCTATGATGCTGCTCCATGTTTCACCACCATCTCACCCATGACAGCAGGCAGGCGTTGGCCAGGGATGGTTTGGGACATGGATTACCTCTGGGCCAAACTGGACTGTAAGACTTTTCTGCCTGCTTCCTCCATTAGGCATGTGGCCCCACACGTCTGTTACACAAACCTGTCTTTCTCTGTCTCTGTCTCTCTTTCTCCCCCTTTTCAGTACAGTCTGCATGTTCCCCATTTTATGATTAGTGAATTGAGCACAAAGAGTTTCCTCCTTTTTCGGAACGGTTTCTTTTTAAAAATGTTATACTTGTGGAATGCAGTGCAGTGACGAAGATTCCATTAGTAAAAATTGTTACCTCTGTTCCAAAACTGAGTTTGCTACCAAGTAAGCAGTTACCTTCCAAGATAGCATCCTAAGCTGAATGGAAAGATTTATTTATTTAGTTTTTCATTTAGTAGGGCTGCATTAAATTGATCAAAAGTTTTCCCAATATAGCATGAGACTTCTTTCAAAACCCAAAGATTTTAGAGATCCCAAATTTTGAATGGTAGTCCATCTTTAATAACAGCATATATTACTGACCATCTTTTGGAACAGCCTTTGTGTCAAAAGCATGTCTGTATGATGCCTTAAAATGCTGTCTAGGTAGGCAGCTCACTAGGTTTTGGAACAGCGCTTTGAGGTCAGGATCAGCTACGTGTGAGGGAATAGAAATGTATGGTTGTATCCATGCAGGGTTTAGTCAGCTAATTGAGTTGAAAGTATGTTTTTGTTTAATATCATAGTTGGTAGACAATAACTTCTCTGAAATATAGCAGACTAGTGTGTCTCATTAAACATGTACAGGTATGAAGGCCAGCAGCTCTTTACAAATATTATTTACACTAATACAAAACAAAAAGCACTAAAATGTGTTGTTTTGTTGCTTATATCATCACCTTGCATCGTTGTGACCGTTATTCCAGCGCAACGAACACGAAACGATCACCTTCGTTCAGAAATAACCTCACACTGAGCCTCGCGCTCTGGTTTGGGCCAAAGTCATTTCAGTTATGTAACACAAGTTTAATGCACATATTGTGAAAACGTCTTAAAAAAGAGCTGTTAAATCACAGGTTTGTGTGTTTTGCGGCCCGCAGCTTTTCTGTTGTGTTCCCCATGTTAAACGTTCCTTCATTCTCAGAAAACACAAAGAAGAAGTGAAGTGGGCCAGTGTGAATAGAAATGTGTTTCACCGTCGTCTTGTCTTAACAGCCACAGTCTGTCATGATCACTGGATGTTATTTTAACATTTTCTTTGTGTTGTCCTTCCTTCACCCCTCAGGATTAACATCTAACAGCCATATGTTCAACAGCGTTCTCATTCTCTCTGTCACACACACACACACACACACACACACACACACGCACAGGTGCGCAGCTTACGTGTTGCTCTATTGTCTTCTCTCCCTCTGTAGATTAAGTGTGTACAGGTGTCAGTACAGTAACGGAAGGTAAGAGTCTCGGTCTGAACGGAGCTTGCGTTCTGTCACAGAGACCCCTCCCCTTTCCCCGGCTCGTCTACTCATCTTTCCCCTCTTTATTTCCACTAATGAGCTGCGTCTGCTCAGAGCTTTTAAAGGAACACCGAGGCCGTGACGGTGCGCAGCTTACGTGTTGCTCTATTGTCTTCTCTCCCTCTGTAGATTAAGTGTGTTACAGGTGTCAGTACAGTAACGGAAGGTAAGAGTCTCGGTCTGAACGGAGCTTGCGTTCTGCCACAGAGACCCCTCCCCTTTCCCCGGCTCGTCTACTCATCTTTCCCCTCTTTATTTCCACTAATGAGCTGCGTCTGCTCTGAGCTTTTAAAGGAACACCGAGGCAGAGCTGCATTGGGGCTGGCTGTTCTGAGCGCGCTCTGATTATGGACGCCGGCGGAGTAATCGTAACACAGTAGCAGCATGAATGGGTCTCCAGCCTCCTCTCCTGCATGTCTCTGCTTTATTCTCTCTTTTTCCCCTCTTTTCTCCTTTTGCTTTGTCCTTTGGCGTGTGTCTGTTTGCCTGAGGCCACATCTGACACTAACACCTGCCCTACTGGATAATGTCTTTGTCACTTACGCTTTTGTTTGGATTGCTGCAGGGAGCCAGTGGGAATGAGGGCCACTTACTTTACACACATATATATATATATGCATATAAAGGCCAAACAGGAAATTTTTTTTGTTTCATTTCAGTTGAAAGGTTTATGTTTCGATGCATATATATGCAATATGAAAATATATATACTGTGTGTATATATATATATATATATGTGTTTAAAAAACATCAGGTCTAAGTAGTAAATGATAATGATAATAATAATAATAATAATAATAATAATAAAGAATGAACAGGTGTGACTAAGCTTTTGAAAAGCGTTTCAAATGTAATTATATATTAATATAGTTATAGTAAAGTTACTTTGTGTTTGGCTGCATGTTATATTTGTATATATAGTCTTGTTCTCACACTTTTCTTTTCACAACAAACACAATGCACTCTTTTTTATTTTATTTTTATTTTTATTTTTTTTTGAGGGCGATTCACAAAATGAGAGTTGGTGAAAAAAGAAAAATTCCCAGGGTTTGCATGATTGATTTGATTCACACACCTCACCGTGCTTCAAATAAATCTGATGATCAGACGGTTAGTCAATCACTGTGATGACGAGCGCTTCTGGATCTTTATGCTCTCCTCCCGGCTCAGCTTCAGTGTGGAAACGTAAGACGGCCAGTCATCTCTTGAAGCTATAAATGATAGAAATCCCTGGCACGATACATAGTTCAGTCAGCATTAGAGAGGAGGGACCTGTGGGTAAGTGTGTATCCTCTCTGCTGGCATCCCGATGTTCTCTGTGGACGTGTGGAGCAGACAGCACCCCGCGCTCGTTTACTCCTCCCCGACTCCTTTCACATGCTGAGACCGTTGTTCTCCGCTCTCCTCCCCCTCTTTCAAAGAAGCCCTGGAGTGGAGGTCCTCTCCAATGAGCGCATGTTCCCCACACCATCTGCTCGCAGAAACTTGAGATGCCCGTAAAAAAAAAAGAAAATAGCCAAGCAGATGCCATCTTGACAAAGCAGGAAGCTTGTTTAATTTAGATGCTTTCTGGAGTACCAGTATTTCAGAATGCCAGCAGAATCCATATTTTGCATGTCTTCTTCTTTTCTTTTTTTCCTTTTTTTGGTGGAACTGCTTTGTAGAATGACAGTTATTGCAATTAACAGTCAAATGGTTGGGGGCTAATTTTGAGTTCTCAGCTTTTTACTTAATCTCCATTCACATCCGTCTCTATCAGAGGAGGTTTCCAGCTTCAGTAATGGCATGCTATCAGTTTGAAAGCAAGCTTATTAATGTCATTTCGGCTTATTCTTCACTCCGCGTGTAATATGTCCTCCCTTCCCAGGTTCCCTCAGCTGCAGCACGAGCGCTGACCTCAGTGTTACTGTGACGACCATCGAGTCCGGCGACCAGGTCTCGCCCACTATACCGCGCGCCTCTAAGAACCGGGTTTCCGGAAAGCTCCGCCGCTCGGCCAGCGCCATCAGCAAGTCCTCTAACTGAACACTTCCACCAGCCGTCAGACTGCATTGTGGATGAATGTATCATTTGACTCTAATGCTTTCCACCTGTTGTTGTTTTTTCCTTTTTGAAGCCGAGTCGCAGTGAAAGATGCAACTGTTGTCGCAAAATGATGACGCTTCACCTGTCGTGAAGAAAGAGAAACTGCAATTATGCTGAAGTAAATCTTCAAATGTGAAATTCATTGCTATTTTCGAAATAATGCTGCATTTGGAATGGATTTACGGATCCCAAAAATGTCCTTACGACCGAGTCGCAAATGAATAATACGAAACATTTCAAAAACCCTGAGGCTTTAGCTAGTTTTTAATACTCTCATTGTCCAGTACTTTGAGCTTTTCTTCATGTCAAACACTGAAAACCCAATCACTGATGCATATGGGAGAGACTTTTGTTGTTGTCGTTGTCCCGTCCCAGCACTGAGACGCTCTGAAAGAATACTGACACTTTTGAATCATCAAAAAAAAGAGAGAGTCTGCTTTTAATGCTTTCAGAACGTAATCAGTGCAACCGACTGCAATGAAATCACGATCTCTTTTGATATTATGATTTTCTTTTAAGTGACTCGTTTGATTATTTTACGGAACTGATTTATGCAACATGCTGAATTGAAAAGGCTCCCGTTGTTTGTAAATCTGTGGAGGTGTAGCACAAATGTGAGCTTCTTAATTTGGGAATTGAACGTCTCCCATTCCCGTCATGTAAATCTACTCCAGCATTCCGATGTTTTTGCACTCGCTCAGTGGTGGTCGATGTTAGTTCCGTTCTTCCCTCTGTATTTGGATGTACATTGCTTTTATTTTGATTTGATTTGATAATATATATATTTGTTTCATGTTGTGTGTGTGTATAGATATATATATATAGAGAGAGAGAGGGAGAGAGAGAAATATCTGCCATCGTACTATTCCTGACTAAACGGAGGAAAGGCCTCCAGAGCCTCAGGTGAAGCTGATGCTTGCACTGGCTGTTTATGAAGGGAGCTGTTCACAGTGCCTGTGTAATACCTGTCCGGATTTTCTGAGTTTTTGCTGTTTTCTTTGTGGTTTCTGCCATCGTTTAATTGATCCTGCACACTTCCTACATGGAGAGCAACGAGTTGTACATTTCACTGGAGTAAATTGAATGAGATTGTCTGCATTTTGTGAAAGCTGCTTTTGTCTGATTAGATGCTGGATGGGGGGGTTCTTTTCCAGCTGCTTCCCCGATTCCCGAGTGCCCTTTACTGTACCAGCAGCATGCCAGCGCTTCTCTCTCTCTCTCTCTCTCTCTCTCGTGCCGCCCCTCTCTGTTCCCGTAGAGACCCGGCCTGGTTGCCATGGAGGCCAGGTGTTACACACGCTGCAGGCTCCACGCAGGCTGCAACAGGACACATGTTGCACTACTTTGCCTTACCTGTACACTTGTCTTTGTTTCGCTTCGCCTGATACTTTTTCTCTCTTCCAAATGCTAAGTACCATGCTCTGAATGAAAAACGCTGACGAATGTATGCAAACCGACCTGAAATCTCAACTGAGAACCTGCAGATTTGAAATGGGCTTTGGGTTGAAAATACTGCAGCTGGCCTAACTTCTGTTTGATTATGATATGTTCGTTGTAGACTTTGTTGTTAGCCTTGTATATTGTCTCTTCTTTTTTTTTCTTTGAATGTTCTAAATTCTGAAGGGTATAAATATATTAATGCCTGTAATATAATCTTTATATAAGACATTGAAGATAAGGAAGCTTGAAGATTTTGTCATGACTTGTTAACATATCAGACTGTTTTTAATAGAAGTAATCACTTTATCTTTACTAGAAATGTGAAGAAATCAAAACAATTCATTAAATTGATTTGAAGTTCATGTTTATATGCGTTTGGTTGCTCTGTTTTAGTTTTCTTTTCTCATTGTTTCATGATTCATGAGTAGTTGCTGTGTCCTGCAATTTTATATTTCATTTAATCTGTATTTCTATGTTTTACAATTAACAGCATTTTTACAAATGTAACAGATGAGCGAATGCTGGAACATTTGATTTGTACCGAAAAAAATATTTCATAGAAATAAGCTCTGGGAGAAAAAAAAAATATATGGTGCAGGATTTGCTGAAAGAGTTTTCACTCTGAAATTGCTAGTGAGTTTTTTAAATATTGAAACATGAAATTTTGAATTATAGAAATTGAAGTATGAATTTAAAATATTTTCCAGTTGGCCTACTGTTTGTTTCAATTACAAAAAAAACAATTTTTGGTGTGTTTTTATTGAACCGCAAAAAGGGTGGTTAAAATTATTTTTTTTTTAAATAAAATAGACACGCACAAATGTTTATTGTTGAATAAAAAGTTAAATAGATATACTGTTTGTCAGCTACCCATATCTCCTCTTTAAAGAGATGGTTCACTCAAAAATAAATCATCTGTCATTATTTTCTTTATTTTTTCCCCCTGTGGAACACAAAATGTACAAATACCTCCTACTGTGTTCATCAAAAGAAATGAAGTCACGTTTTGTCATAATTAAAGTCCTGTGTTTTGTGCATGAAATACGACATTGATTTTGACCTCTCGCTTTCCTGCTTCTGACCTGGAGAGACTGTATGATGATGTGGTGGTGTACATGTGTGTCTGAAATAATCCCTGACTCTGTGCTCTAGTGAGAGAATGCATGGCCATATTGTGTGTTCGAGCGAGTGGGTGGAAGTGGTGCTCGGGGTTAGAGGTTGTTCTGTTGCTGGAGCCGAGGGAATATTGAGGGTAACCTGAACCCCCTCCCATCTGTCTCCCCTGCTGCTCCATGAGCACAGACGCGTCCCTCACCGGAGTACAGGTGCACACGCTCCAACACCTACAGCTCATGCAGGTGGCCTCCAGCACACTCGCGTTTAATTACTGACTGAGTGGTTACAAAAGGGGGAAGTCATGGTTAGAGAGTCGGACTCGTAACCCAAAGGCTGTGGGTTCGAGTCTCAGGTCCGGCAGGGATTGTAGGTGGGGGGGGGAGTGAATGTACAGCGCTCTCTCCCACCTTCAATACCACGACTGAGGTGCCCTTGAGCAAGGCACCGAACCCCCAACTGCCCCCCCGTGCGCCACAGCAAAAAAATGGCTGCCCAGTGCTCCGGGTGTGTGTTCACAGTGTGTGTTCACTGCTGTGTGTGTGCACTTTGGATGGGTTAAATGCAGAGCACTAATTCCAAGTATGGGTCACCATACTTGGCCACATGTCTCTTTCCCTTTTTTCACTTTTAAAATCTGACCAAAACAACAAGTATGATTTTTCTTTTATTATTTTCTCGCCAATTGCACTCTTAAGTGTGCATGAACCGAATCAAGAGTAAAATCATTAGTGAGAAGCAGATGACAGCCGTGAAGTGTGAACTTTACACATCTGCTCAGAGGAGGCATTGGTTTAGACAATCGGATGCTCATTTTGCAAACTTCACCCTGATCGTGCTTTTGTTGTTTGATTTGTATCCGCTTATTTTATCCTATACAATGTAAAAGCAACACGATGGATTGGTTGCGTCTTTAGAGTCGTACGAAGCAGGCACAGACGGATGTGAATGAATCAATAATGCCTGTGCTGAAATGCCTTACGGGTTAATGCCCTTGTACATTTCTGAGTTGTTGTCACCCTTGAAATGATTTCAGCTAAATAGACAGTGGGCCAACTACATTATTTCATTGATCAAGCACAGCTTACATAATGACTTCAGAATGACCCGACCAATTAAAAATCAATACTTCTGCCATTTAAAGCATGGAAAGGGGTTTGGGATAGAAACTGTAAAGGTGTGAATTGCCAGAGGTTGGCTTTATGTCATCTGAGCATTTGACACACCTGTGGAATGACAGATGGTCATGCTGCACATTGAGTGCTGTAGTAAAGTAGACTGCACAAAAACACTTGTACACCCCTGCTCTGTTCTTAACGTCATGTATTGCTGTTAACTTTGTATAAATCTGTAGATGAATATGGGACAGAACTTGTATGTCTTTATGGAGTAACTGGCTCGATTGGAATTCCAATAATGTGAAGTCCAAACGAAAGGTCGTTGCATTTTAACAGTTCTCATATTAAGCGATAATAACTGCCTATATTATTTAAATCAACTATTGTACAAATGGTACACGGTGGCTTTGTGTGGCAAATATGCACGAACAAGAAGCGTTTTCATTTTGAAAATATTTTATTTGAATAGACAACACGGACGCACATATAAAGCGCTAGGTAGCAAACATTTAGGAAAATAAACTGTACTTAGAAAAAGATTGCATCTATAAGAGCTTCACGTTTCAAGAGAGCGCACAAAAACCAAGACGAGATGATCTCCACACAACGATTCGACTGCAACGTGACACCCAATAAGTTATACAAAGCCATTGAAAATAAATAAATACATAAATAAATAAAATATTACGAACAAACATATTACAATAATTTTACATCATGATAGTAAGCAGTAATTGTGTGCCGACATTCAGAAACAATCGTTACACTGAAGAGTTCTTAAGGCAGAAGTTTGATGTATTTCTCTAAAGGCATTTCTGGCTACTAAAGGGAAACTTTTCAAGATTTCTTGTAGTTTTCAGTACGAAGAGAGAGAGAGAGAGAGAGAGCATTTTCACTCCCGTAATCCACATACTAGATTAAAGCTACAGACGTGAAACACACAGCATGTGAATTCAAGGCAGAGGTACAGGAACATATCTTAGGTCTAGGAGCTATTACATTACCATGTGTGCAAGGGTTCTAGAAAAATACCTTTGTAAGGACCAAACTAATACTTTTCTCCAGACTTTTCTAGCGAGGGGTTGGATGAAGAAAACAGATCGTTCTAAATGGACGGATCGCGGTGGGTTCGTCTTCAGCAGGCGTTACGCACGGGCATCTGGAGAAGGATGACTTGCCTGTTTTCGGTGGGGTGGCATTTGTTGATGTGCCTGGTGAGACCCGGCGAGCTGTAGAAAGTGGCGGGGCAGAACTTGCAGGGAAGCGCCTGGGAGTCGTCGTGCAGGAGGCGCAGGTGTTGCTCCAGACTCGCACGGTTCGGCAGCTTCTCTCCGCAAGCCGGACACGCGAGACAGTCCGCGGGGCTTAGATTGAGCGGACCCGGGCTTTGGCTGTCCTCCGAGGGCACGGTGTCGGGGCTCTCTGCGGTGCGAAAAGCCGCTCCGAGGATTTGATTTTGGAGCGCTTGGTGTCCCAGGATGTGCTTCCTCAGGTAGGCTCGGCGCTTGAATCTCTTCCCGCAGTGCGGGCAGTCGTAGAGCCCGTCGTCGGAGCCGGACTCTGACAGACCCGGACTCGGGGAGTCTCTGTCGCCGGGGAACTCCTCGGGGAACGGTTTGGCGGGCTGGAGGGCTTGTTTGGGCGCGTTCGGCACGCGCGGTTTGTGCCAGCGCCGGTGGGAGGCCAGGTTCGCCGGACAGCTGAAGACCTTCTCGCACTCGGGACACCTGTACTCCACCCGCACTATCCGGGAGCACTTGTGCTGTGCCAGAGAGAACGGGTCCGAGTATTCTTCTCTGCAAAGCTGGCAGATGAACTCCCCCAGGGGCTTGTTGCTGTTGCCCGAGGCCGCTCGGGGCTTGAGGTCCACGGGCCCCTCTTTGATTTTCAGGCCCAGCACTGGGGATGTGGTTACTTCGTCCTCGAAGTTGAGTTTGCGTATGGCTTTGGGTTTCTTGGCGCTTTTGCTGCTTTTACGCTCGGCGGCGTCAGAAGAAGGTCTTTTGGCGCCGGTTCGGATGGCGGGCGCCGTTCCGCTCCGGTTACTGTTGCTGGTGCCGATTTTTAAGTCGACCGGCGCAAACAGAAGATGATGGTCCAGGCTGGTGAGAGAGGCGGGAGTCGGGAACGACTCGGCAGAGACGGGCGAGCCGAGATTGAGACTCCGCTCGAAATATTTCCTGTCATGCTCCTTGCTGATGGGCCGGGTGGGGCTGTACAGGGCTTGGTACACCGTCTCCGGGTTGCCGAACTGCACCGGCTTGGCGCTGTGGACCGACACCGGCGCCTCTGCCCCGTCCGACGGGAAGGCTGAGGTGATGCTGCCCGGCATGGGGGCGCTGGGCGCGGGTAGAGACGCGGCGATTTGACATTCTGGAGCGGATCCTCCATCCTCATCCGAGCGTATCCGGTACGAAACGAGCACTGCTTTCTTGTTCCTTTTCACCAGGAATCCTTTGGGCATGTCGGCGGATGGATGAGGCGAGGATGACAAGGCACAACAAGACGAGATCCAGAGCCACAAACGCGCCGTCCGCCTCCCTCCCTCTGAGAGATGCTTTTGCTCCTCGACGCATAGCTGCACTCTTTTTAAGCTGGAATGATGTTATTGTTCTCGCCCCTAGTCGCTCCGTCCTCATCCAATCAGGAGCGAGCGAGGATCTCTGTGGAATTGGCCGTGGGAGGGCTGAGACACTCGAACCGGGCGCTACAGAGCAGATGAGCCTGGCCTTTATTGTAGTAATGCGCGCTGCTCTCTATTCACGGTCTGATGTATGGAGAGGAGCTCGTGCCGCGGCTGTGGGGCAGCGGAGGAAATGTCACTCACTGTCATCGTCGTAGTCATCTACAGAATATGCAATATATGCAAAACACCTTAATCTTAGTAAAATGCATCATTTAGATGGGAAACTGTTTCGTGTGTGTGTCGCCCATGTTTACAGTTTAAAGTTTCCATTTCACGCGTGTTTCGTGTAAATAATAGCGTATACTTAAAAACTACATTTACTATTTACAAGCAGCTCCACAAAGTAGAATTACAGATCGCGCGTTATTAATTAGCGCGTATGAAACACGAACATGCTAAATAAGTCCACATGCT